AAAAAAAAAAAAAAAAAAAAAAAATAAACAAGGAAAATAATTAACGATGTTTATACGCGAACGTGATGTTGCAATTTTAATACGCGTTTACTGAAAACTGGTTCGAATGTTTTCGATACTCGAATTATGCATCTTGTTATTTGATTTATCAATAATTTGAAAAGTTGAAAGGAAATAAAAGTACAAAAAAAAAAAAAAATTAAACTACTTAACGTCAAAACACGTACAAATTTTAAATTATTTTTAATCCGATATTATATAATACATATATAAATAGGTTTATTATTTATTATTTATTATTTATTTATAGGTTATTAGGTATATATATATAATAAATATAACTATAAGATAAAGATTTGAATAATTCGATGTTAAAGAAAGAAAGAAAGAAAGAAAGAAAAGAGTTATTGACCGGCATAATAAACTCGGTACCACGTGTCAACAAAGGTCGCAACAGTTTCGGAGAATGCATCATACGTACCCCTAACTCATAAACTTCATTATTTATATATAATAATAATAATAATAATAATAATAATCGAAAATATTATTAAATATATAATTCTTTTAATAATTTTTTTCATTCAAATATTACGAACCAAATTAAATTTTTTTTTTTTTATAATAATCAAAAATATTATTAACATATAATTCTTCAAATAATTTTTTTTCATTCAAATATTAAAACCCAACTAAATCTTCTTTTCATTTTTTATTTATTCCTAGTGTTCGAAAACGTTTTATCTTCTGACTGTTCTAATCTATAAAAACACAGATATACTTACACCCTACTCCCCTGACACCTACCCCTACATCCTTCCCCATCTTTATCTCCATTCGTTCTTTTACATACAACTTTTTATTTCCACAATTGAATTTCAATTGAAAAAATAATATATAATTATGTGAAAGGTGATATATTATTGATGATTGAAAATGCACAATCCATGATATGGTTACGCTACTGGGAGAGAGCCCAATCACGTGCACGCACACGCGTGTCGCGAAACTGCCTTAGCTTTATACTCGGCGCCAGACTTTAATAAGTGCAATACGTATTCTTTTTAGAACAACAACAACAACAACAACAACAATAACAACAATTACAAAATAACTTGAGAATAGATAAAAAACGATGAGAAAAATAATCCAAATAATCAATTCACCATATTAATATTCTCAAATTGAATCAAAATAATATCTTTTCTTTTTCTTTCTTTTTTACTTTGATTTTTGTTGAACGAAATAATGCAAAATAAATAAAAGAAAACGAGAAATAAAGAAATATGCAATAAAAATATTAGATGAAGATGATAAGGAAATCAGTTAACGTGACAGTAATAAAAATCGTAATATCGTTAGTGTATATAGAAACGTTGCCAGGAGAAGAAGATCGGTCTCGTTTGCGTTCTCTAGTCATTGGGTTGTTCCAACGATATCGTCGATGACAACGACGGAAGAAGAAGAAGTGGTGGTAGTGATGGTGATGGTGATCGTGGTAGAGGTGGGGGAGGAGGATAAAGGGTGGAGTGAAGAGTGACTAGAGCGAGATAAACTCATAACGATTGATAATACGACTACCGACGTTTTGCGTTGAATGTTTCTTCTCTTTCATCGAAGTTGAACTAACATGTGAAATTTTAACTCGTTTTTTCTCTTCTTTCTTTCCATTTTATTTGCAAAAATATTCCCATCATCATTTTATTTTCATTTAATTTCTTTAACAAGATAATAAAAAAAAAAAAAAAATAAAAAATAAATAATTCAACATTTGTTAAATAAATACGAAAGTTGAGGTGTCAGAATTTCTATGAACATTTATTATACTTAATATTATCATGCAAAAATAAAATTGTATCAAACTAACCTGATAGGCCCATCGTGAATTGATCAGTCCCTGAGATTCGAGTATCGAGTTGCTGGATTCTTGGTGTCGGTTGTTCGCCAAATGACACTTTTAGTCCCAATTGTTCGCCAAATGCAACTTTTGCTCGGAATTGTTCGTCAAATAACGCTTGTTGTCTCAATTGTTGGTCAAATGACACATTTGGTCCCAATCGTTGGTCAAATGACACTTTTGGTCCTAATTGTTCGCCAAATGACACTTTTGGTCGAAATTGTTCGTCAAGTAACACTTGTTGTCCC